ATCTCTTGTTTCTATCCCAACGTGACTGGGTCCTTGATGCTTGAAGAGAAGTCACCGCATCGACTAGTAAAGAAAAAACTCAGTGCCGGTATAGCATAATGATTACTCCTCTGTTCTTTTGTGTAATTCTACCTCCCCATTCCCCCCCCCCCCCCCCCACCCCTTCCGCTCAAAATAGCTAGAGATATTCACCACCAGCGTGTATGCCTCCCACCTCACCAACAAGTAAAAACCGGATTCCTCGTCTTCACAGCCTCCAACCTCTCCACAATCACCTTCCTCTGGTTTCCCTCCATCCCCTGCGCGGCCGCAAACCCCAGATCCCCACCCTCCAACGCATCCTCCTCCTCCTCCTCCTCCTCCCACTCCCCCACAAACCCCTGCCTCCCCCCCTCCCAGCTCAGCCTCCCTGTCCCATACAGCTGCGCCGCAATGCTGTTGCTCTCCCTCCTCCCCGCCGCCGTCGCAAAGCTAAACCTCCTCTGGTGATGAACCGCCATCGAGCTCGACCCCCGATCAGGCGAGTACATATTCAGCGACCTCTGCGGCTGGCTGTAACTGGCATGCTTCAGCGCAGGTCTCGTCACCTGTACGGGCCCGTTACTGCTGCCGCTGCTGCCGCCCAAAACAGGAGTTTCAAACCGTCCCGGTGTCAACCCAGGCGTAAGCGGTTCCTCCCCCATCGCCAGCTCGAATCTCCCCGGGTTGGGCAGGTCTCCCACCGGACTCGCCATCCCAAGCAGATCCACCACCTCCGCCACCCCCGTCGCGGCCGGGGCACTAGCCGCGTCTGAATCGGCGGTAAAGGCCCCAATATCCATCTCCTCCTCCTCCGCCTCGGCAATAACATCGCTGTTGGATCTCGTCAGTCCAGCAGCAGCACTGGCAGCCTGCTCCGACTCCTCCACCGCCCGTCTCCTCATCTCGGCAGAGGCAACCCTCATAGGAACCGCCACCGGCACGTCGACCAAATCATCCCAGACACACACCTTGGCCCGCCTCGTCAGCTCCAACGGCCCATGGTCCGGCGTCTTCAGCGTCTCCACCACGTTCCACGCCTGCCCCTTCATAACCGCAATCTGCCTCGAAAACATCTTTTCCTGGAAATCCGGGTCCATCTGAAACACCCTCCTCAGCGCAAGCTGTGTCTGCGACCACCATGTGGTCGACGTGAGCAGCGGCAAGAAGTGATCCCTCGTCTTCTGACTGAACGGCCTGCCAATCAGATCAACCGGCAAGAAAAGCCACCCAAAGGGAAAGCTCCTCCAGGCGTCTGGGTGCTTCCAGGGCCATGACAACGAATTGTCGATGGCACCGATGGAAATCTTGGGGTCCGGTGTGCTCGATACCGGCGTCGAGGCGTTCATGGGCCTCTCTGTTCGGTAAGGGCAAGACGCACGAGTCTTTGGCGGTTCTCTGGTCGCCAGATCCACCGGTCTCGGCCCCTCCTCCGGCTCCTCTGGTTCTTCCACGTCGGTGTTGAGCTGGACTGGGTCCGACACTATCGACGCTTTCTGAGCTTCCCAATCGACCTTGATCATCCAATTGTCCAACCCTCTATCAGTATTCCGCATGATGTAATCCAAAATAACGAGCTTCTCCAGCTCCTCCCGGAACGACTGCTTCAGTGACGGCGTCCACACAAAGTTGCCCGGGCTTGGTGTTGCCGAGGCAGGGCTGCCTTGACCTTCCTCGTCACTATCTCCGTCGCCTTGCATCGCCCCCGTCGGACGGCAGTTATCCACCCATCTCTTCTTCTTTTTCCTGTGGGGATCATTCGTCCGGAAGCCAGATAGATACTGGTCTGGCCATGGGTGTTCCCGCAGGAAGACGTTGGCATCTTTGAAGCCCTTGAGGAACACCTGGAAACTGCCAGGTTTGGCGGGCAGTGTCTTTTTCTTTCTCGAGAAGTTGTAGCGGTCCCAGAATGGATAGTGGAAGGATTTCGATGAGAGGTAAACGACGTCGGTGTATGGGACCATGTGAGTTCGTAGCTGGGCGTCGAGGACGTACGCAGCGGCCTCGCTGACGTAGGAAAGATTGGGAATAAGACAAGCCCTGCCGAAACAGCACGGGAACAGGTTTCGATGAATCCACTTGTTCCATTTCGGGTTACCAGCCGCATACGGCTCCTCGTCCTTGGGCTTGAACACTCCCACAACCTTGCCGTCAGGATTCCTCGCAAAGTAGCTGCCAGAGCTACCCTGCGAGATCATGAGCGGCTGCACGCCCTTCCGAATGGCCTCCCTAACGCTGTCCACAATGACTTCGAATTCCGCCCTTGTCATGTACCCCGGTTCTGGTACAGCCAGCTGTTCGGCTGTGACGGGGCGGACACCCTCAGGGGCTTGGAACACCGAGTGGTGAATCTCCAGCCTCTCTTCCTCGCCCGTCTTTTTGTTCTTCCCGCGCTTGAATTTGGAGGCGATCTCGTCCGCCCATCGCTCGAGGCGGGCATTGATGGCTTTCAGGTCGACCCCTGAGTTGCTCCGAGCTCGGCGACCCCGTCCGCGAAGATTGGCGGATGATGACGACCTCCTCCGCTTCGGCGTCGACATGCCCGAGTGCGGGCGGGGTTGTGTGATAGGCGCATATTGCGGGGCTTGAGCAGGTTGGAGGGAGGCATAGCTGTGGGCGAGGGGATCTTCGTCGTCGGAGTCGTCGCCGAACTGGTCGGCTTGTGCGAGCCTTTCATAGCCCGTTGTTGCTGGGCGCGTGCGTGGCATTGTTGCGGCCGTCGAGGACAAGAACACCCGGAGTGTGAGGACAAATGAGTAAGCGATGGAATTGCGACTGGATTGACACGTCTGTCGTTCAATTTGATGGTTGAAATTAAGGGAGGCAACAACCAGCAGCACTACCTGTCGTACGAGGGCAACAGCGATCTAGAAAACCGGTAGGCTAGGCGTAGAGAGAAGCTAGAGTATTAATACAAAAACTAAATTCGAAATATAAGCGTCAGAGTGGTTTCTCTGCCAGGCCAGGGCAAAGAGAGATGATGGCTCAATCAGTGAGAAATGATTGTCTCCTGTTTCTGCTGTCGTCAGTGATTACAGCGAGGATCGAAGCGTGCCAGGGACACGGAGCCAGGCCACCAATGAGGCAATGATGGCAGCGGGTGTGCCGGGGAATCCTGTGGAGTCCACAGTGTTCAGTTCCCCCCCTTCATCCCCTGCCGCACTGTCCAGGCCTGGCCGTCAAGGTCCCCAATAATTCCGACGTCCACCCACTTACAATGTTTCAACAACACTTCAACTTTTTTCTACGTAACCTCCCAGCAGCATCAGCGTTGGCGTGATTTCTTGATTTCTTTTAGATCCCTCCCTACTCAACCACAACTCTCCTATCATTTTCCTCTCGGCTTTAGTCTCCCCCATCCGGAGCAGACCGGCGGCAGCTACCCACCAACCCTCCCCAATCGGAACACCGTTTCTGTTTCAATCCCCCCGTCGTCTTACTATTCTCATACTCATGCATGCAGTAGTGTAGCAGCCTACCGCCTCGTTGATCTAGAACCCTTTATTCGTTCCCTCGGCCTCGCACCAGCACACAACCAACACCACATGCCAGAACGTGGTGTCTCTTGGTTCTTGTTCAACCTCGTCGTGCAGGACACGTAATATTTCTTGCTACCGAGTTCCGGCCTTCTTGTCTGATTTTATTATCGTTCCCCCAGAACAGCAAGGCTGTTTTTCTTTTCTCCTCCCCGCAAGCCCCCCTCATTGCTGCGAACAGGGGTTCAGCCTCAGTCAGAATGCCACGCCAATACTTTTGCTGGAAAGTCTGCCTCACCTTTGGCTGCGGCTGCAAAGAAGACACGGCCACCCACCACGTGTGCGACAGTTTTCGCACAAACTGCAGCTCGTGGGTCACGTACAAGACCACCAACAAGAGCTGTTCTTATCACCGACGGGCTAATGGCCTGGATCTGAAGCAACAGGACGACAAGGAGGAGGATTGGTCGGTCGTGGACGAGGGCCCAGAGACGCCTGGGTCAGAGGAGGAGACGCAGTGTCAAGTGGGATATCAAGGGACCTGGGAAGGGCAGTATCTGAAGAGGAGGGCTGCTTGAATGGTAAGGGGTGAATATTTCCTGTGGATGATTTGCTGCTGGATGCTGACGTGTTGGACAGGTCTTGAGGTTGGTTGATATTACGGACCATACTGCTATACACCCATCGCAACTTACCCACATTTCTCCTTCTCACACAAGCCGCAGAACATCAGCAGGCATATGATGATATCAATATTTATTCAGAAAATCAGTTGACAAGTTCACAACATGTCAGGGTATCTTGTGCAATACTGGTCTTGTGTGTCCAGAACCCATCTCTTGCTATGGAAAGCAACTATTCCAACACACTAAGATGTATCTCGGTTATCATGATATCGAACGCCATATACGCCTGGGTATCTTGCTAACCATCCCCGAACCATGCCAACCCCTGAAAAAAAAAACCGCAACTCCCAGCTTCCAGCTTCCAGTTCCCAGTTCCCAACTCCGACCCCGGGGCCGCCAGTATTGCGGATGAGAATACCGGCCCCCGGCGCTGTAATACATCCCCTTCGTCTGGCCTATTGAACTTCGCCATGTCGACAGTAATCCGTGAATACCGTCTCGTGTCTATTCCCCCCGCCCCTCTCTAATCAGGCATAACCTCCCCCAACTCCCCAACAAACTCCTCCAACCCTTCCTCCTCACCATCATCCACCACTTCCTCCTCCCCCTTTTCCAACCCCAAAATCTTCCCCCAATCAAACTTATCCCTCCCATACCCCGCATCCTCCATAGCCCTCCTCACCTCCCCCCTCAACCTCCAAACCTCCCCCCTCCTCTTGACAACCCCCCTCGTCTCCCTTGTCAACAACTCGTCCAACTCAACCCTCTCCTGCATCTTCTTGATCTCCCGCCCAAACATCTCAAACCTGAGCTCCTCCTTCAGAAGCTCCCCTCCCTTGTTCCAAGCGCCCCTCTTCAGAAAAGCCCCCCACCATCTGGGCGGCGGGCTCATCAAATCGTCCTCCGGCAGGTCAACCCCGGGATTATCCTTCTTCCAGCGCAAAAAGTCGGTTTGCTGAGCCATCATCTTGTCTTGAAGCTCCTCGTTTTGGTCGGGCAGCTTCGTGCTCTTCCATCTCGACCTGGAAGAAAGATCCATCGCCATCATTGGGGTGAAAAGCCTCTCCTTGACGAGCTTTTCCCTTTCCCGGGTCGCCTCCTCTTTTCGGCGTTGGAGACGAGCCCTCCGACACCTCCCAGCAGCGTCAAAATCCTGCTCTAGCGACTCCCTCAGAGTAGAATTAAGCTCCTCCCTGATGATCTCCCCCAACGGCGGAAGGCGCAAGAGCCGCTCTTGAATACCGGCGATGATGGTCTCAAAGCACTTCCGCCCGCACCTCCGTGCTTTCGACGCCCTCGCCCTTGCACAGGGGGAGCTCTCAGCCGTGAAGGGAGTAGCGAGCAG